ATTTGTCCTTTTGTTGACTTATTTCACATCCTTGCACCCATGATCTTTCCTTGTCATTTCTTACCATATAAGGCCAATACACCATCCATCACCCATCTTTGTTTGTCCCCTCTTTTTAGCCAGAATATCCACCACAATCATCAAAGGATTTCATTCATTCTTTGTGATTTTTGCCTCCACAGCAGGACAGACAAAGCCAGCTCCAAAGCCAAGACAAAGTCAAACAAAATCAGCCCTTATCAACTCAAGATTGGAAGCTAGTGAATGATAAAGGGATGTAGGAAGGTTCCTTGTATTTGCATTCATTATATTGTGTGTTTTCCCTCCTCTCCCCTCCTTATATATTTCGGCCATTTGGCCCTTGTAAGGAACATCTCTGAATTATTAAAAAACTCCTTTTACTCTTTGAGTATTTATAAAATAGTGTGATGCTATTTTAGCCAAATTCCTAATTCTATATCTTAAGAGTGGTTATCTTAAGTGTGAGTTTTAGGTTCTAGATATTTAAATAAGTGTGTAATATCTTATTTGAATTCTAGATTCAAACCCCAAGTTAGGCTAAGAGTGTGTAATATCTCTTAAACACCAACTTGGTTTATCCAACCCTGATTTTCCACTCTTCTTCATAATATCAAAAGCCAAAAAGAACTCCTTCACATTCCCATATTTTCATCCAGCCCATTTCCCCTTCATTATTCCACAGTTCCATCTCCAAAAATAACAACTTGATTAGACCCCCGGTTCGGGCCTAACAGGTATAATGTTCACTTTGGGGCTGGACAGTGGAAGGTTGTCAAGGGAAGTATGGTAATTGCTAAGGGAAAGAAACAGGGTACTTTGTACATGGCTGAGACAACTACACGAGATGCAAACGCAGTAACTAATGGGCTGAGTCTCTCCAAGTTGTGGCATCAACGACTCGGCCATATGAGTGAAAAGGGGATGAAAATGCTTGTCGCCAAAGGAAAGCTTCCAGACCTAAAGAAAGTTGAATCTGAATTCTGTGAACCATGTGTTTATGGAAAGAAAAAGAGAGTATCTTTTGTGAAGATGGGGAGAGTACCTAAAGCTCAGAAGTTAGAGCTTCTTCATTCAGATGTTTTTGGTCCAACGCGAGTTGAATCCTTGGGAGGCTCAAGATTCTATTTGACCTTCATAGACGATGCCACACGCAAGGTATGGGTTTATTTTCTTAAAAGTAAATACGAAGTATTTGATGTTTTTAAGAAATGGAAAACTGCCGTTGAACTTGAAACTGGTTTGAAGGTGAAATGTTTGAAATCGGACAACGGAGGGGAGTACATTAGCACAGAGTTCATGGACTATTGTGCTGAACGAGGCATTCGGATGATAAAGACTGTTCCACGCACTCCTCAACAAAATGGAGTCGCAGAAAGGATGAATAGAACTCTAAACGAGAGAGCCAGAAGTATGAGAATAAATGCAGGGCTCCCGAAGATGTTTTGGGCAGACGCAGTTAACACTGCTACTTACCT